TCCATCGAAAACAGGAACACCAGAAATGGAGCTTCACGTGTTGAGCCCAAGTGGGCAATTAAACCGGGTCTTCGACGTGACGAACGCTTTACCCACTAGACTACCACGCTGACCCAATGCGGGTTTGACCCAGACAGCGTTCTACTTACCGACATGTCATTATACGTAACAGTAAAAAGTTTAAAATAGCATGTCGCTACTACCACTATGGACATGTCTGGTTTCAAAACCAATCCTACTCTCGTTATCTGAAATTAAGGCGTGACACACATCTGGGTCTGTGACGGGACTCCTGAGGCAACGCTCTGCCCTACATATACTGTTTAACTGGAACATGATCATGACCTGAATCGGATGTCTGATAGGAACATGACATGTCTTGGGCATGCTTACCTATATTATAACATCTGGTCACGCTGTTATTTGTGGGTAATGTACGGTCGTACCAGTGCTTAAATGCTGATGCCCGTATTTCAGTCATATCAAATCGCTTCAGTTTCACGTGGGAACACAGACCAATGTGAAGCTTGGTTTGACCAGACAAGTCCCATGGACGCGGGCGGTGGGGTAGCCCAGTGGTCACGCCGAAGACCCGGGTTCGATTCCCCACATGGGTACAATGTGTGATGCCCATTTCTGGTGTCTCCCGCCGTTATATTGTTGGAATATAACTAAAAGCGAATACCCCAACTCACTCACTCACTCACTCACTCACTCACTCATGGTTTATTTGTGGCACCCGAGACGACAGTTTTGTCTCTTGGAAATGGTCTCCAAATGTCTAACGTAAATAATTTTGAGGGTTTGAGTGTCCAAACAAAATCTTAACCAAAGTCGTATGACACTCTTTGAAATCGTCACAGAGGGATTATGTTCGATAGTACCCTTGAAATTGGGAACTATAGACATCAGTTCAGTTTGAATACAGATCAACATAAAGAGAAGGTTCTTGAACACAATCTTGTTGAGGGAGTTTTGGCACTCTGAAACTTTCTGCATGAATCCGATGAGTCCGTTTGATTGGGTTGGTTTGTTTGCTATTTAACTCACTCAGATATAGTCCAGCTGCATGGCCGCCTATAAATATCGAGTCTGGGCCAGACAAGCCAGTGATCGAAAGCATGAGCATCGATTTACACAGTTATAAATATGAAGTTGTTATTTTCTTTGTACTTTTAACACGACGTCCCAACTCTATTGTTGTTATACTAGCGCTCATGTCGAATGAATCATTGGAATCATGATAAGAAGTCGCAGGACAAAATTTGTATATTACCTTTTCACAACTTGACAATATGAAAAACGAGTTTTCAGAAAGTAAAATGCTTCAAAATAGTATTCTACCATGACTTCAGTAAACACAGGTCTCTGATTTTCCGTGCGCAATTATACATGGTTTACGGTAATGCACTATTTTTGTCTGCCCACCAACATGACGGACACCAAACAACCTACCGATGCATCGATAAATTACGGCGATTTTGCTGTCGGAAATTACACATATGCCTTTAAAGTTGGATTTAGCGATGACGGGCTCGACTCACTACTTGCGTAAATCACAGCAATAGGTGTTTATACATACAAAAGTACTTCGAAAGCATGGAAACAAATAATCAGTTGAACAAGATCAAAACATCGTCTGCTTTCCGAATAAAAATTCAGCAAGAAAAATATGTTTACGTTGATTCTATGTTATGTCAAAATAGATTAAGCGATAGACTGCTTCATAGTTTCCGTATTAAATTTATTATCAGCTTCCGTCAACGATATCGCCACTGATCTTGATCCGGTAACGGAGGATGCATTAACATCGAACGCCGAAGAAATTTTAATGCCTTCCGTACAAATAAATAAACAGTTGGGTTATCAATTCAAACAAAATGATACATTTTGGAGAAATTTGTACGGTTTCAAATTTAGCGGTAGTAAAACACAATTACAGAATCTGCAAACCGTTCTGTTTTCTAAACATATATCGTTGAAATATGATTTAGCTCTATTAGTCATGATGACTTATCCATTACACTGATTGATCTAAAGTAGTCTATTAAAGTATAATTAATTACCTTACCGTGTTTATGCCAAAGGTACACCCTCATGTCCTGTTCCATCCTTTCGGAAATATCACCACAATCTGGCTCTTTGTCAACAGCTTCGCGAACATGCCAGCGAATCCGATTCAATTTGAATTCACTACACTTTGTGGTCACAAAACACTTTCCAAAATGTAAAAATAATATTCGGAATCGTCTACGGTGGAATTTTAGAGGTGCGTGAAATCGTCAAGTTGACAGGGCGCAAAATTCAACAGTATCTAAATTTACAACACGGACTTCTCATTTGATATATGTATTTCCAGTAATTTATCAGACTATCTCAGTCATACAATCAGGTGAACCTTGCGCAAACTGTCAGATGCTCTCCTCGTCGCATCTTTGCACGTAAATGTAAACAATGACTTCCGCAAGATTATTCTGGTGGGGAAAGGGTCTACGGTGGAATTTTCAAATGTGAACCAAGCTTTTTGTTATTTGATATATGATTTCCAACTTATCAGTTAATGATTGGTGATTAATGCCTTTAAAAAACAAAACGCGATTTGTTATTACTGTATCTGGAGTTTGTTAGTTATTGACGGTTTGCCACCAATCACCCCGTATCGGGCGATGCCACTTGAAATTGGAATGCGAGGCCGCTTCACGTATTGACTCGTAACCAAAGAAAGAAATCCAACTGAAATTGTTCATAAAATTGTCATGGTAGAATGGAGATAAACCTACGGTGTTGGAAAATCAGAGGTATATAACGAAATTATAATAGCTCTATAATGTTTATGAACCATGTAATGAATACATGTTGACAACATCTCGGGTGATGATGCAGGACCTGGATATGCCGATGCATATCCCTTACTCTTTCAAATAACAATGTTGAACAATCCTTACTGCATGTTAACAATTTGGTCTAGGTACTTTTACGTAAAATGCTATATGTACTCTAAATGAAAGCTGTATGTTAACTACTTACGTTTGACTAATCCCGGTCCCTTCCATTTTACAAGGAAATAATGTTAACACTAAACTTACTGTTACCAGGAAAAATGTTTTATGTTAACACTTGGCTTACACTTACAGGGACAAATGTTACATGTTATATTAACATTAGGCTGTACACTAGGCTTACACAAGGAAAAATAATGTATGTTAACACTAGACTTACTTACAAGAGGAAAACACTAAGCTTACACTTACAACGTATGTTAAGACACTAGGCTTACACTAGGCTTACAAGGAAAAATGTTGTATGTTAACACATAGGCTTACACTTACAAGGAAAAATGTTGCATGTTAACACTAGGCTTACTCTTACAAGGAAAAATATTGCACGTTAACATTAGGCGTATGTTTAAAAGGAAAATAAGCTGTGTGTTAACACTAGGCTCGCTCTTAAAAGGACAAATGCTGCATGTTAACACAAGGCTTACTCTTGCAAGGAAAACTGCTGCATAATATCACTAGGCTTACTCTTGCAACTTTAAATGCTCAATGTTAACACGAGAGTTACTCTTACAAAGTAAACTGTCGTTCAAAAGAAAGTACATACCTGATATTTTTTGTTAAATATTTTCTTTAAAACAGCATTAATATTTTAAAAAGTGTTTTGATTCTGCCTTGTCACAAACATTCTGCAAGTGTTTCCAAAACACCACAGATATTGTACCCAATTACAACATTGCTAGCAAAATATTTATGGTTTTAATGGGAATAGTCCCAAAACACCAGGTGTGTACTTTCTTATGTCCGTCAGTATCAGATACTGCATCATACAAATGGTAATCGATCGAGATACCAGACATCCGTATCCAATTTTAAATATTTCTTTCTATGGTTATAATTCTAATGTAAGTATCACGCATGTCAAAATGCACTCTCATTATGAGTCCGTTGTGCTAATGCAAGTTAATTCATAAACTAAGGTCCAATGGCCAGGAGGTCATACATTTTGTGCATGTATGTTCATTACTTTCTCTGTCATTTTGCATTGTCTATCAAACTACAACCGAGTTCGAGACAGGGTTTCGACTATATTTCCAGTAGTACTGATGATAAAGGGATCTTGCATGTCCCGGGTTCGTGTTTGTGAATGCGTAGATGAGTTCGGTAATAACTGTATGTAAAGTCCATCAGAATCGTGACTTTGGCACTGTTCCATAGAGCAGTGGAATAGCAATTGTGAAACATCCCTGCAAATTTTTAATCAATTTGGGTGGTGAGGTAGCCTTGCAGTTAATGCGTTCGCTCGTCACGTCGTAGGCATAAATGCATGAAGGCCATCGTTGGTGTCCCCCGCCGTGATATTGATGGAATAATGCTAAAAGCGGCCCCCAAACTAGACTCACTCACTCTAACTAATGTATCTAAGATTGAGTTTGCGGGTGTTTGGAACACTGTGATTATACGACCTCTTTACAGTGGAAAATGATATGTGAACCTATAGGATCAAACCAACCAGCATAACCTCCCTTAGCACATGTTGTTTTCTATAGTATTGATGTTACCAAACCCAATAGGAGGGTCAGGGATGACGTTGATGGTGGTGTGTGGTCCTGTGCATAGAGCTCAGGTCACAAATTGATTGAAGTTAATTAGCAACGTCGGGAGCGGAGAGTTCTTGGATGGGTGACTGTGTTTGGCAGCTTGACTACTGTGAGTTTCTAGACCCACAACGAAGCACATGTGATACATGTGCTCTCACCTTAGGCAAGTGAGTTTGTTCAAAATTGCCTCTGTTCACTCAGCAGAAAATGGGTACCAGGTGGGATAAGTCATGTGGCTTAACCTTCTAGCGCCTAACAGGCAGCTTGGGTTATCCGGGATAAGACATTGTGATGTGCCGTTGAACAGCTTCGTGTTGGATACCCGGCGCCAAAGAAATCCCTTATATATTATTATCAATAATTATGGTTCAAATGTAAATATAGAGGTAAACGACTTTTGAAAGACCTTTGACATATTTATTCAACAGTTTGTAAATGACATTCACAAATAAGAACAGGAGTGTTGGCAGACCAACCTGGTTTACCAACACATTTGTGCGTGAAACACAAAAATATACATAAATATCACATACATTGCTAAGGCTCTGATTGGCTGATTTTTTGACAGAGCATACATTGTATTTGTGGAAAGATCATTGCAAGTAACAATGAAAGCTGGGGATTGCATTGGGTTTGCATTTTGTGATATAGCCTACTGATTTACGCACAGTTCTGTACTTCCGAAATACAATGTAATGCTTAATCTCGTGTCATTCAGTCCTGTCAGATTTTGTTTTTATCCAATATAATGATGGAAATTATGTCGTGTTAAACCGAAACCTTGATAATACACAGTATTACCACATATAACATATAACACACACAGTTTCCCTTTAAAGCACTTCAGACTATGTACATAGGGAGAAATAACCTAGAGAATATGGGGATTTTGTTCCCAGGAATATATCGAACATGACATCCTGCATGCTACCCTAACGTAATCATCACAAAGCAAAACAAAACAAATTACGAGGAAACAGTTATTGCATTGAAAAACAGTTATCACACATAACAAATAACTCATATAGTTTCCTTTTAAAGTACTTCGGACTATGTACATAAGGCGTTCAAGGAGAAATAATCTAGAGAATAAGGGGATTTTGTTTCCCAGGAAATTATCGACCACGACATCCTGCATGCTACGGTAATGTATTCCTTATGTTGTAATCATCACAAAGCAAAACAATACAAATTATTATTAAGATACAGTAATTGCATTGAAAAATTTCTATTTGCTGACACCTATAGAAACGTATAAGTGCCATAGTCTAAGTGTTTTGATCATCTACGATGATGATACTTACATCTGAGTTGATACCTTTTTCTACGTAGATGTTTTCATCTACTTAGATGATACAGACATATACGTAGATGATACTTCACTTCTACTTTCAACCCTGCTATCTCTTTACTTGGGTACATTAAATAAGGTAACACTTCATTTAAATCTAGCATAGTTTTGTTAAATCATGAATGTTTGGAGATGCTAACAAACTTGATCAGTTCAGCATTTAACCAAATCCATGAAACTGTTTGAGCATAGAACACTTGGTGTGTACATTTTTATACAGACTGTTAGAAAACATTATGTGCAATTATTGCGGTTTGTTATGAAAATACAGAAGAAGCCAAATGAAAGAAATATATATAGTTTAATCTATATCCTGGTTAGGTCGTAACTCCACAACAAAATATCACGGTCTCAGTAAGGAGACGCATGATTGCAATATTGTATAAGGCAACAAGCTTATTCTACGTAAATGAACCAAAATATATCATCTACATAGATGATGATTTTAAACTATGGCACTACTACAAACAAAATTGATCAGATCAGCATTTAACCAAATCCATGAAACAGTTTGAGCATAGAACACTTGGTGTGACAGACACAATTTTTGAGTTGCACGCGTTTAACATATTTTATGAACTGATACAGCCCCATCGCGACCTTGAAGATACTGGTGAAATCGCCTGACTTCCATTTGCTTCCACTTTCCCTGAGACTCCAATGTTCGCAAACGTCTTCGGAAATCCTCAGTGTCAGGTTGACCGTTGGTGAACGATGTGTAGAAGCCTGTATTGACAACGTATCCACCTGTTGGAAACAACATATTTTGATCTGACTCTTTCGATAAAATAAATGATATGATGAAAACATGAAAAGTAAAGAATATTACAAACTTGATATTCAATCGTGATTCAAAATCAATTTTACACAAGCATGTTCATTTAGCTGAGATGAAAACGATGCAGATTTAAGTTAAGATTACGTAAGCTGGGTTGGACGTTTACAGTATACAGGGCGTAGGGGCATGTCGGCGTTACATGGTATCAATGTTTGATGAAAGGTGGTATATGACCCCCTACTTATGTGTTTACCAATGTGGTGAAACCCGCGAGCACGGCGTAGAGACGCAACGCTTCTTAGCGAATTGCCGCACCTTAGATGACTGGCCATGTATGCCACCCATCAACTGTTTCAGTTAAAGCATTCGAGTTATAGTCAAGGCATTTTATAAATTACGTTCCTAATCATGATAATTTGTTCCTAAGATTGTAATTGGGGCTAGGTAATTATTTTCTTAAAATTGACATTTTTTGTCGTACTTCGATTACTTTCTTGTAGGTTCGATTATTTTCCATCATGTTTACTTTTAAAAATACAATTGAACTTACAAATCAATAAGGAGAAAATAATAGAGGTAACATTAAAACAATCGAAATCGTCAAAATTGAAATACCGACAATATAATCGAAGCCACGAGATTAAATTTCAAATTTCGAATTTCTTAAATCAACATGAATTAACGATGAAATAGTCGAAATTACAAAACAAATATGATCGCATTAACGGAAAATACATATAAATTTGGTAAACATAAACAAAACAACTGAAATGTTGAAAGATTTCGTTTAAAAAAATATATGTATGCAACCAATATGGCACAATTATTCTTTCTTAATTGTCCTGTAAATATTAGTACCTAAAACACTTTAAGAAATACGTATGAATTGTGACAGATTATAGCTCAAGAGAAGACAACTAGGCCAAAAGCGAAAGGATATTGTGTACGTGGAGTACGCCACATGGGTACACATGTATAGTGACGCTGGTTCGAAATTAGTTTGAAGATGATAATTCGAAGTAATTTTGAATACAGAATACAGAAGAGAGACACGCATAATATATGAATGTCAGGTATTTTGAATTCAAGGATTAAAACGATTATTTCTAATAAAGATTTATCTTTATTTTTAGCTCAACAGTATTACATTACGCTTGAAACATTAGGAACTGTTGCCAAAAACAAAGACTTTGCCGAAGCCGTATACGAACCTCTTTTAACAATCCTGATGAGCGTCTCAAAGGCCTTGATGGGAAGTTGTCTCATAATGTCCGTGCTAAGTCCGCATATGATAACTGCATCATATGTATCTACAGCACACATATGTGAATGAAAGAACAAGTCATAATCCTAATTCGTTAATGGTTGATCCCGTTGATCCTTTGTGAGAGAATCACATGAATTAGATTCAGATTCAGATTCAGATCCAGATTCAGTTTATTCAGTTTATTCAGTAATTCTGGCCTTAAGGTTGCATATGAAGGTGCAGAAAATATTGCATACGTTCAAACATAAGTAGTGTAACCCACGTATCACATTTAAAATAACTACATAAGACGTAATATGTACTCAATCGAAAGTTAATGCTGTGCACTGTATACCATGCTTCCAGTACCTATTGAACATCGTCCCAATGAAAAAACATTTAAACTCAAAGAATACGGGGTATCGCATTATTCGTCGCACGAAGATTTGTGTTTTAGGTATATCGAAAACAAAAACCGTTATCCTGCTTTATCAGTTCAAATTAACATTATAATTGTTTTGCTTGTTGTTCACCACACTCAGCAATATTCCAGCTACATGGCAGTGGCCTGTGGTCTGGACCAGACAATCCAGTGATCATCAGCTTGAGCATCGATCTACGCAATTCTGATACGGTGACATATGTCAGTCAAGTCATCGAGCCTGACCACACGATCGCGTTATTTGCCTCTTACGACAAGCATGGGTTGCTGAAAAACAATTCTAACCAATATCTTCACGGGTATGCAAAAGGAACAATGAAGTAAATTACCGTTTTTGATATCAAGATCGTTGTCCCCTAACACGTCAATGATGTAACGACCATACAGTCCCTTCTTTTTGGCTTCCGATAACATTCCCTCTGATGCATCGAGCGCATCTAGTTCCATGAAATTATATTTGTTGAGCTGCAAAAATGAGCATATGTTTTATATTTAAATATATAAATTAATACATTGTCATTTGAATGATCACGCATACATTCATTCATTCATTCAATCAATTCTTAATTCATTAAATAAGGAAATATTAAGTAAGTGAAAAGTCCTATGGCAGCATATAATTGGTTTATAATCTTCAAAATGATCTTTTCTTATACATCCAAGAGGCGGTTGAAGACATTACCAATCTAGCTCGTTTTATCTATGATACACACAAAATGAAAGTACAGTCTGAAAAGCAGAAAATAGGCATTACAATTCTACGGATTTCAGTCCAGCTGTATAAATATATATTATTGGGGATAATCTATGGAAAGTAAATGCTTAAGTTTGAAGTTTGATAAATCGTTTGCTCTCTTTTCGTTATTAGGAGTTAAAGATAATCTATGCATGGTAAATGCGTTTCATATTGAGAAATTGTTTCCCTTTTTTCATTATTTGGGATATAATGAAATCAATGCAGGTAAATGCTTTGGATTTTGAGAAATTGTTTCCGTTTTTCGTTAATTCCTTCATACCTGTTTCAAATATTATACTATTAATATGTCCAAGCATACGTAATAAAGATTTGATGATGATGGGATATCAGACTGAATTACCTCAGACGCACAGAGACCCGTGCCAGCCGCCACATCCAGCATGCAGACATTATTTCTGTTGCTTGGAAACAGTTTTGCCACTGTTGCAGCTGTCTCCTTTGGGCCGTTGTAGTTCACAACCCCCATGACCTGTCAAGTAATTTGTAACGAAACTAGTAAATTCATGGCAATACAACGCAGAATATATGAATATATATAAATCAATTTGGATTATTTATGAATCAGATTACATTAAGCGTTGAACAGCAGAACCTGTTTAGATTACCGAGCATGCTCCTGCAATTTGAAACACATGCACTCTTCTGCGACGAAACAGCTTCAGTTGTATGTGAAAATGAATGGAGTGTGAAGCTTCTTCTAACTCTTGCAGCTGTGACGAGCGAAGCTTTCATGAAATTCATTATATTCTTATACCCCTGTATCATTTATGTTTAATGTGGAAAATAAGAGTGGAATAATGTCAAATAATCCATACCTTTTCATAATCCTGACTGATCTGCGAGTAGCGGTCGAAGACGACTTCGCTGTTCACTTTCCTGTCCGTGATTTGGTTCATGATGTCCTGGGCTTTTGCCTTGTCGTCTTCATTGTAGTGTGAGGAGTATACTGAAGTCATTGTGTCCTGGAACATGGAACAAACACAGTAAATATGCATATTGTCTTAGAATTAGAAAGATGACGTGTGATGACATTTGTTAGAAGGCGATTCTAAGTAAGCCTCCAGCGGTGAGGCGGATAGGATGAGAATTAGAATTGTTTGGTTCCTGACGAACCTAAACCAATAGGGTGTTGCTGTTGTTGTTTTTCAAATACGATGTCTGTTATACATTTAATGCGAATAATATTCTCCGCTGTTGTTTTGTTGCGTTAAAGCTCCCATATTATTGGTTAATAGTACATTAAATGCCTTTATTGTTTAAAACAACCTCACCAATACTAATTGCCCCCTAATGAAAATATTGTGTCATGCATGTTTCACCTTCCACGTGTTACTCTGAAGCTGGGATAGTACTGTGATTCACTTAGAAGGGCAGAACGGAGAAAATACACGCGAACTGTAAAAGGTCGTTGTTTTCGTAACCACGCTCTCATGTCATGTCAGTTGACGTTTAACTCAAATGTGTGTTGGTTTTATTTCTAATTTTGACAGCCGAGTTAATTCGGAAAGGATTTACAGAGCCCGAACGCACAATTTCCACAGATGTTACAGAGCTACATCTATTTATAATCGTCGAAAGCCATTACTGTAATATCGCAAAATTGACATTATACCTTATTGCTTGATGGCTTTGATGTGTGCAACTGAACTTACATATACATGTTCTCACTTTATTCAATTAGAAGATTATATTATAAAAATAATACCTGTCTTTGAAACAATTCAGTACATTTGATACAGACTCATTCAATGTGTTCTTTTCTCAATATAATTCATGCATCCATATTCAACTTTTGGTACATTCAAAGGTAAGAAAAAGGTAGTCTGTCATACAGACCTTGAAATATACATTTATCCAAGAAAGCCCAGGCAAGTCTAGAATATGTGGCAAGTCTAGATTTCCAGTTTCCGAAAATGACGAAAGTCTCTGGGCTCCTGTTCATTATATTTTATTATTATAATTTAGAAACTGTTTTATTTCTGTAAAGTATGTTCATTTCAGAGACTAGATGTAAGTCTACTACTCAGAAGACAAACTAGCATGCCTAGTAAGTTTTTACGGTCAAAATAATCCATGTAGTAAAGTCCTTCACTAAACTGCATATTCGTCACGTGTGTATTTTACATGTACAAGCGTGTTGGAATGCAGATTCCTCACACCCAGGTTATCGGACTCATTCTGTACCACAGAGACCCTGCAAGGACCCACCAGGGGAGAATTTACTCCTGATCTACATACACATGCATATCAAACAGGAGAGTGCACTACGACCGTAGCATTGCCCTATTAAGTCTATGGCTGGATCTAATCACGTCTTCTAATAGGAACGGACAGATATTATAAAATTCCAAGACATTAACGTTTTTTGCCCTTTTTGTATTGCACCAACTGTTGAAGATGAATTTCACTTTTGCCTCGTGTGCCCATTTTACCTTGATCTGTGATCCAATCTCATACCTCAATATTACCACATGTTCCCAACTCGCGAGAAAATTTTCTTGTTATTTTGTTTCACCAATCATAATACATGGAATAATTTGGCAAAATATACATTTCTTGCTACTGAGAACGTAATTCCTTTTTCATACAGATGTTTGTAAAATAATATTTTAGCTACATTAATGTTCGTTAATGTATTCAAAGGGATATTTGTAAAATATTCTTAATATTGCATTTTAAGTGTATTTATATACGGAGCTCATGTTATAAGTGTATGTCATCATGCTCTGTACCTGTATAATGGGCCGGTGGCCCCTGTACCTGTATCACTTCATTAATTAAGTCTGTGACAGATGTCGCTCTCCTAGATATTTGGAGAGAGCATTCCAGTACATGGAATGTATGTTTGCTGTCATACGTTAGTCATAATAACATCGTTTCTCTCTGACTCTCATTACTACACACAATTCACAAACAAAAAACACCCGGAGAATCTACATCACATATTTTTATACAATATTAGTACAAAAACTGAATAAAACGATTCGGAGGGATTATATCTAGACACAAAATATTTTTATCTATTGCTGAATAACATATATTTCTATAGATGACCACCTGATAAATAGTAAACAAACAAAACCCTTGCAGTGAGTGAGTGAGTTTAGTTTTACGCCGCACTCAGCAATATTCCAGCTTTATGGCGGTGGTCTGTACATAATTGAGTCTGGACCAGACAATCCAGTGACCAACAACATGAGCATCGATCTGCGCATTTGGGATACGATGACGCGTCAACCAAGTCAGCGAGCCTGTCCAACCGATCCCGTTGGTCGCCTTTTACGACAAATATGGATCTTCACGGGTAAAAATCCGTACAACCCAATAGCAGGGCAACATAAGCGTTCCATTACAAACTATCACCACTTCTAAGATCATACAAATTGCAAATGCATAAAAATATCAGAAACAAAGTGTTTGCATTTCTTGAAGGAGCAATGCAGGTCCCTCACGCCAAGTTCTAGAATTCCCCATGAAATCATTACGAACAACAAAATGCATTTTTACTGTCATACTGTGGCATTCGTTCTGATCATACACACGTCAAGAACGAGTGAGTGAGTGTGGGTTTACGCCGCTGTTAGCAATATTCAGGCAGTATTACATCGGGCAACACCAGAAATGGGCTTCACAGATTGTATCCATGTGGGGAATCGAACCCGGGTCTTCAGTGTGATAGGCGGACGCTCTAACCACTAAGCTACCCCACCGCCCCATGATTACAACGACCTCAACAACGTGAAGATATTAACTTTGATAAAGAATAGCATATACGCTTCTCTATTAAAGTATTCTTATGATCAGAATAATGCTTCTTTAAACAGTCGTACATTCGTGGGTTTTCCCTTTGAATATGTAATAGTTCGTTCATTTTACGTTATTTCAGGAATACAGTCTCAAAAAACGTATGAACATTAATATGTTTCGTCCATATGCTTATGAATAATTATTTCACAAACGGTTTATCTACGAAAAACTTCTGATTACTAAGCTAGGTACAAGCAGTTTGAACTGGTTAAAACTGGCACGTCCTCATGGTGTAATTTCAACCTCGAAATCCATGATATAGTCGGAATCGTTTAATCGGCTCTGCTTTCAACAAAATTCCTTGTAGATATATAGAGATTTGTATTCGCATTGAAAAACACCGTCAACGAACGGGCTCTCCCACTATACGAACCTCCACCCGCAACACATTGGGATTCCGGGTACGTGTACAGTCCCCCCGCAACCTACGTATGTCACAAGTAGCTGCTATATGGATAGATGTATGAAGTCAATATCTGGACTGTATGGTTGAGACGCGATACTGTGAAGATCGCCGGCATATATATCACCAATATTGCTAAGTACGGCTTAAAAACTAACAAACAAACCCACTAGTCTACCAGCTCATGCAAATGCAACCTGTAATAAAGCAGTATGATTTGGAATTATATTTCCAAAATCTCTTCATGCCAATTTTGTCATGTGGTGATTCAGGAATTCACTTAAGTGAGAAACAGGATGGGAATCACACAAAGCATATGGAAATATAATATATGCAAGAAGTCTATGCCAGAAGTCAATGCTGATGCTTAAAACAATTACGGAATAAAGGTATTAATCAAAATACAAGTTTAACAAGTTCACAATGTCCGTACCTTATTTCTTTGGAGTATTTCAGATGCAATCAGACAGTTGGTTGTGCAAGTCGGAGGACTGAGTAAATACACTGCTCTCTGGTTGTACGACTGACGAGCCCGAGTGATACTGACTTCTATAGCAGTTCAACGCCAGTCATTGTTTATGTAACATAGGAAATGGGATAACCACCATCTGGCTGGAGATAATGATTGGGTAGTGACACGGATAGGTCCTGGGAAGCAGAAGAGTTTAAACAGAGGTCAGCTTGGGGGATTATCGCCAAGGGTCAGTGGTTACTAAAAGGGGTGACTATTGAGGGGGAAACAACTATTGCGACCAACTATTATAATACTATTGCAGTTTTTTTCTCTCCTTGGATTGTCTCATTTGAAGTCATTTCCCAAATGAATGTAAAGTTTATATTATAATACAAAAACAAGCTGTTTAAAGTAGTTTAAATCAGTCTCTTTTCCTGATTTTGCGCTGCGCAAACTATCGATAGTCACTCATACTATTGATGCATCGATAGTTTTCGTTACATCGTTACAGCCCCAGTTACTAACAGTAGGCGGTCGATGTGATTACAAGCACTTGGGAGATACGAAAGGTCGAAGTGGTCAGAAAATGAAAAACAAGTGATATTGCGTAGATACTATTTTTTTGCATTTATGATGTTTATGTAAGATCAGTCAATTAATTTGAGTTAGCAAATTAATCAGTCATCACTCACATTCTATCATCTAAACGGAACTAAACTGACAATTCTAGTGAAGAAAACTGAGAAATGAGCATGTAACGTAAATCGGTAATGTGCAGTAAACATAGCCTGGTAATGAGCAGTGAACATAACTCAGTAATGAGCAGTGAATGTAACTCGGTAATGTGCAGTGAAAATAACTCAGTAATGTGCAGTGAATGTAACTCGGTAATGTGCAGTGAACATAACTCAGTAATGTGCAGTGAACGTAACTTGGTAATGTGCAGTGAACATAACTCAATAATGAGCAGTGAACATAACTCGGTAATGAGCAGTGAACATAACTCGGTAATGTGCAGTGAACATATCTCAGTAATGTGCAGTGAACATAACTCGGTAATGAGCAGTGAACATAACTCGGTAATGTGCAGTGAACATAACTCAGTAATGTGCAGTGAACATAACTCAGTAATGTGCAGTGAACGTAACTCGGTAATGTGCAGTAAACATAACTCGGGAATGAGCAGTGAACATAACTCGGTAATGAGCAGTGAACATAACTCGGTAATGTGCAGTGAACATAACTCGGTAATGTGCAGTGAACATAACTCAGTAATGTGCAGTGAATGTAACTCGGTAATGTGCAGTGAACATAACTCAGTAATGTGCAGTGAACGTAACTTGGTAATGTGCAGTGAACATAACTCGGTAATGAGCAGTGAACATAACTCGGTAATGAGCAGTGAACATAACTCAGTAATGTGCATGTAACGTAACTTGGTAATGTGCAGTGAGCATAACTCAGTAATGAGCAGTGAACATAACTCAGTAATGAGCAGTGAACATAACTCGGTAATGCGCAGTGAACATAACTCGGTAATGAGCAGTGAACATAACTCGGTAATGAGCAGTGAACATAACTCGGTAATGTGCAGTGAACATAACTCGGTAATGTGCAGTGAACATAACTCAGTAATGTGCAGTGAACGTAACTTGGTAATGTGCAGTGAACATAACTCGGTAATGAGCAGTGAACATAACTCAGTAATGTGCAGTGAACATAACTCAGTAATGAGCAGTGAACATAACTCAGTAATGTGCAGTGAACGTAACTCGGTAATGTGCAGTGACATAACTCGGTAATGTGCAGTGAACGTAACTCAGTAATGAGCAGTGAACATAACTCAGTAATGTGCAGTGAACATAACTCAGTAATGAACAGTGAACATAACTCAGTAATGTGCAGTGAACATAACTCAGTAATGAGCAGTGACATAACTCAGTAATGAGCAGTGCACGTAACTCAGTAATGTGCAGTGAACATAACTCAGTAATGAGCAGTGAACATAACTCGGTAATGAGCAGTGAACATAACTCAGTAATGAGCAGTGAACATAACTCAGTAATGTGCTGTGAACATAATTCAGTAATGAGCAGTGAACATAACTAAGTAATGTGCAGTGAACATAATTCAGTAATGAGCAGTGAACATAACTAAGTAATGCGCAGTGAACATAATTCAGTAATGAGCAGTGAACATAACTCAGTAATGAGCAGTGAACATAACTCGGTAATGTGCTGTGAACATAATTCAGTAATGTGCAGTGAACATAACTAAGTAATGTGCAGTGAACATAATTCAGTAATGAGCAGTGAACATAACTCAGTAATGAGCAGTGAACATAACTCAGTAATGTGCTGTGAACATAATTCAGTAATGAGCAGTGAACATAACTAAGTAATGTGCAGTGAACATAATTCAGTAATGAGCAGTGAACATAACTAAGTAATGTGCAGTGAACATAATTCAGTAATGAGCAGTGAACATAACTCAATAATGCGCAGTGAACATAACTCCATAATGTGAAGTGAACAACTCAGCACACAGAAAAAAAACAACTCTGATTTCGCTTCACATTCCAGAGTTTTACATCACTCAGTGTTTTCATCCCTTAAAATAACATTACCCCTTCACGAACGGGATCTGGTAAATCAAACCATTCCGCTTCCCAGAAATACCCAAGTGACACAGGGGTAATGGAAGGTATGATTCTAACTAGATTTCCCGGTCCATGTATCACTTGATTGTCTGCTCTGTTTGACAGGCCGCCATCGCATGGTAGGAGCATTGTTCGGCGTCAGGCATAAAAAATGTTGAAATCTTAAATGAATGGCGGGTGCTACCGGTATTCATATCACTTTTACAGCTATTTTCCCTTCACACCAAACGGATGACAGCGAAGACTGGGTATTCTTTTGCACTGACCTTCTATATTATGTTTTAGAGATTAAACATTATATACGGCAGAGAGGGGTCAGGCGAGAGTCTGACGAGAGTGTACTTGTTATGCAACGAGACGTTTCAAAGTCACGTTGCTGTCCAGAAGGGACAGAAAAGTTAATAACATCAATACATTCACTGGCTTTATCAAAAACAATATTCCAGCAATATCACGGCGGGGAACACCAGAAATGGACTTCACACGTTGTACCCATGTGGGGAATCGAACCCGGGTCTTCGGCGTGACGAGCGAACGTGTCTACACAGGTTTGATAAATTTAGATTTTAAATTTTTGTATGCACAGTTTCTTTATGTGCCTAGTATATATAAAATAGGCCAAACATTGTCGAAAATGTATGACATTGTGCCTGTAGGAGATCTGTTACTTCAAATATTACCACCGTTTAGGATACATTTTTAGGTACGATGATGTCCAGTTAATAAATAGAAAACAGCATTTCCTCAACAACAACCGATTCAAAGAACATCACGTGATAATAATAGTTGAATTCTCCAAATGAGTTGGATTTAAATGTGATTTCGGAAACTGTTAAGGTCGTCCATACCAGCCATTGGAACAGGGTAAAATGGATTCATACTACCCGGAGACCTTCAGCGTACGGTACAGCTATTAACCAATCAGAATTCTTCAAATTTATATAATTGGAAATTCAGGCAACGCTTCAGGTGCGCAGCAACCTCTGACAAGCCTTATCGTACACAACACCCTAGACTAACACTCAATCTCTGAGTATATATAATATTGATAATAACAAATAAACCCATTTAAATTACAAAGGAGCCCCGGTGAGTTGGGAGATTCAGGACCTTGGGAATCTAGACTTGCTTCATTTAGGGCTTTAGCATTGCAGGGAGAGCTAGGCAGTAGGGGAAATAATGTGGTGACTGTGAGCCAGACTAACAACTAACCAACGACTCGTGTGGCTTCTGTTGTGGATCCTCGTGAAGATCCGGGTTAGAGTTGATCTTTAGTAACCCATGCTTGTCGTGAGAGACGACTAACGGCATCGGGTGGCCAGGCTTGCTGACTTTGTTGACACACGTCATCGTATCCCAGTTGCGTACATCGATACTCATGATGTTGATCACTGGATTGTCTGGTCCAGACTCGATTACTTACAGACATAGCCACATAGCTGCAAAATTGTTGAGTGTAAACAACAAACATAAAAAAAACCATCAACCTCTAGTTCACTGATTATTCAACCAACGCTGGATATACAAAGGCACATGTCATGAAAGTATCCAGATTTACTAGACGTAATGACACATAGAAATATACATACATTTGAACCATCAACAGTCAGTCGTCAGCAGATGTTGCCAGTCGTGTCACGCAATATAATGTATGCCCAAGTCAGCAGATATGGCACGTGACATGAAGCCATACGTTATTCATTTAGATGATCATGAATATTTTCCAAGTAATATATAATCCGGGTAATACTTCTCCTACTACTAATAATGTGTCCATTTATAGAGCGCCCAACTCCACACCAGGTATGTTCATAGCGCTAACAATCAACAGCACAGCTCGTTATTACCCCGGATAACCCACGCTGCCTGTTAGGCGCTAGAAGGTTATAGTCACATGACATCCCACCGGGTACCCATTTTCTGCTGGGTGAACAGAGGAAATTTTGACAAAAAAACTGACTTGCCTAAGGTGAGACGGCATGTATCACACGTGCTCTGTTGTGGGTCAGGACAGAAGTCCTAGAAACTCTCAGGAGTCAAGCTGCCAAACAGTCACCCATCCAAGTACTCTCCGCGCCCAACGTTGCTTAAACTTCCCCTGATTTGTGACCAGAGCTCTACGCACAGGACCACTCACCACCACTACTATAGGTCTGCAGCATCCTCTGACAAGCCTTATTGTACAAAACACTCTCCTACCCAGAGTTCCGTGCGGCAAGCCAGCATAGTACCTCTGCCACAGGCCAGAAAAATGTGACGATTCGTCACATCTTGCAATGTACATTCAATATCATGTACAGATTTCTTAGCTCTTTCATATTTGACGAGTCTACACATCTAACTAATCATCTTTAATAGAATGGTTTAGTTTCACTGAGAAAATATCCAAAAACGTGTAACATTATTTCGATTTGCGTAGCGATC